TACACGCCAAACAAATCATGATACAATAATTTTTATAAAAAGAAAAACGTTCCAAGATTTGTAAGTGGGCCGAATACTGCCAGGTGGCCCAGGTCAAGGCAGGTGAATTTCTTGAGGAAGCCACTTGCTGTGAAGTACACACCGTCCTTGAAGGGCAAAGCATATCACGCCGATACTTCATACAACTTTGACTTATGAATACCAAATGAAAAATGACTGCTCAAGTCCGGAACCCCATGCCACTAGCGTTCCACTTAGACTATAAAGGAGAAATCGCAATCTGGGGCGTTTGCCACAGCACAACAACGGTCATGGATTCCAAGTTGCGCAGATTACAGCCCACGAGTAGTCCAGTAAGAATATCCTCAAACAGAGGGAGAACCTTAAACAACAGTATTTTGTACCCCCACACCACATAGTTTGTCACAATGGGGAATGACAATCAGGGGGCAGTGTCCAAATGAATGTCCTGGTCGTTGTTTTAATCCGAAAAAGACTAAGCAAAGATAGTTCTCAATAATGAAGGAGAATTATCAAAGTTGTCAACGAAATGGTCAATGGTAAAATGAAAAAACTAACCTGAAACCGAGAGAGCGGAAAGAGTAGTGGAACTTCCACAGGAGGTTGACCTTGAGCGCTGCTTTGTAGAAAATAGTGGAACTGTCCGCTTATTGAATGAGCCACCGCTTTCTCAATGAATTCAACCATGGTGTTGGCACTGTGCGATTGCGGTTGGGACCAGAAGCTAAACCGACCTGGAAGTGAACAGTGGGGTAGAGGTGGAAAAAGAATTGGATCTGGTCACTAATTTGTGGGGAGGACCGAGGGATGAGTTAAATATCAGGGAGTAACATTTCAAATATACGGGTAACGACAACCGCGCCTGGTAAAAAAGTATCCCTTATAGAACTTCCACCGAGTACCCATTCTGAGGTAAGAAAAAACCGGGATCACCTTAGACAAAATGATGTGAGATGGAGACAATTAAATGTGTTAAAAGCAGTAATCACACTATGAAGCAACTTATCCGGCTGTAATTTTAGACAGGAGAAAGTTAAAAATACTCTTGATGACAGTAGTTATCCGTGGAAATGGAGTTTAATGATTCCCACTGAGAGTATAGGACATCGGACGGGGGTAGACTGTCGCATCCTTTAGATCATATTTCACCTCTTGAGTCTCCATCAACAAATCAACTATCCCTCGTGGAGCTCAGAAGCATACGAATGTAACAGGGGGTACACCCCAGAAAACCGTTCAACAGGTGAGCTAGAACGGGTCTAGGGTAATCGAATTCCTTAAAACCACGCGAGACTACATAAGGGACGAGAGAACAGCTGCCCTTTAGTGGACGGATGAAATTTGATGAAGCAAAAACATTGATTGTTATTGCGATGCATAACCACATGGAATAAATCAGTCCTCAAAAACCATTCATCAAATAAGCAACCGATATTGAACGATTCGAAAGTCGTCTCTCTCTGTCAGTCTTGTCGTGGTCCATACGTGCAGGAAACCGTGCGACCCGAAGAATACCAGACCCAAACATTAGTGATACTAGCTGCCGGAAGCAATTATTATTAGAAGTTATTCAACCGTAATTTACGAGACAGTGCGTATTGTGCGTTTGGCACCACTCTGGTTATGTCAAACAGACCATGGTACGGGCACCTCTGTAGCACCGAAATATACTTGAGGGGCTGAGCAAATGACGGAGAACAACAGTAATTAGTCGCTGAACGACCACACCGATTCAACGCCCGAATTTCAATTCAACAACTCATCCTAAAATGATCCATAGGGGAGGGAATAAGCCTAGTTAATAGTGTTGGGGGGACCAGCGAAATAGCGGCGCCCTTCGCCAGATTGATGACCAACATTGATCACGCGCCGCGAAGACATTCGAATGCCGCAAAGCCGCCCGTATCAGTCAATCAGTTACATGCATGCATGCACATGCACACACACACACACACACACACACTGGTTCACGTACGGGTAGGCGAACGAACCCATCACCTAGACCACAAATGCGAGAATCAGCCAG